TTATTTGTCTTGAGGAAGATCGGTTATATGTGACTAAAATGTTGGCAACAAAATATAAACGTATGTAACATCAAACAGTGTTTTGCACTCAAAACGATCGAAGTGGAAGATCTTGGACCCTGCGGTAGAGTTCAGTGCGAGTTGGATCCACTTCTAGTTCCCTGATGCTTCGTGCTCATCCACCAAGGAATGGATGCATCATCCTGTCTACCCGTTTGGCAGAAGAACAGGGTTTCATCATATCCCTCAACCCGGCTGAGTGGTGGTCGGTCAACCACAGTACGTGCGGCGCACGACGTAAGCGGACTCCCTCATCGGGCTGTTGGATGGCGTGATCAAAACAGCCACTTTTCCGTAATTAGCAGGCTGTCGTTATCGAGTAGCGCCTTGTTCGCAACGACAGCTGCTCATTTGCTTGTTTCGTGATTTATCAATGACGTACACCCGATTTATGGGGGAACAACAAGTTTCTCGTATGCTGTCTGGTTTTGCAATCCTAATCCGAATTCAACAACCCCACATCGCATGAAGCCATAATATCGATCAAATTCCCAACTCCTACATGTTCTGTTGTCCCGAAGGGGAGGGGGGCAAGGTAGAACGGGCTACTGTACCAAATCGCATTTCTACTTTTACGTACGTCTCTGGACATAGAAATTGACAGGGGCACCGAAGCGGCCTGTGCTTGCTTTCAAACTGCGTCCCTACGACCCATGATAAGGTACACCGAAAGCGAAGCATCGACATGGCGACAGTCGCCACCGCAATCACCGCACGACGCTGTCACAGCATGAAGTGCTTTTTGTTATGAGTGATGAGTGGCGACGGGGCGACGGTGGCGACGCCAGTCAGTCACCGGTAATGGCCACTATCGATTAGTGAACGTTTTCGTAAAACTTGTTCCAAGTAGGCGGAGCTAACACTTTGTCGTCGATCGTGAGTAGTCAGATACGAGAGATAGTGGCGGAAGGGAACCAGGTAGGTGGCGCGTTGCCGAAGCTAGGTCTAAGACCAGTAGTCATCGACGCGACGGGCGTGGCGTAGAGAACACCGCAACGAGCGGCACGCACTGTTGTTGATGCCCTTGTTGTTGGCGCTGGTTCAGTGATAGTGTGTAGCGTGTGTTTCTGGCGTTGCCCGGTGGATCAGCAGCAGTCGCAGCAGCAGCTGTCGCAGAATTCGGCGCCTGATCGGCAAGCCATCCGTTTGCCACCCACTCTCGAGAGCTTTAGCCGTGTGCCACCTGCCCTGCGACGTCACGTTAGACAGACAGCTGATCGGAGGAAGAGGATGAGGACAGGACGAGTTACATCGCTTGTATCCCTCATCGGCATCGGCATCGGCATCGATTCCGCCTCTGTCTTCACGGTCTTCGATCAGAACACCAATTGTCGCCACGAGGACGTGCGGTCGTGATTTAACATCGGCCAAAGCTTGTGGTGTCTGTCTTTGCTGAATTGAAATTAGTGTCTGTTGGTCCAGCCGGCGTTGCAGCTGTGGACGACGAATCTAATTTAATTGGATCGAAATTCTGTTGGTGGTTGCGAGCCATCTGCCGAAGCGCCTTCCCTCCTCGACGTGATTTGATCTTCGTCGAGAAGTGAGGAAGAACCGTCGCCGTTGCCTCTGCCGCAGCCGCTTCAATTTTTCTCTGTCTATCGTACTGTACCTCCTTCCCTCCGTGATGAGACCTGTTCCGGTGTCGCCCACTTCCGCTTCGGCGCCGCCGTGTTCGTCTTCGTCTACCTCTGCCACTGCTGCCGCTACGTTCACCTCCTACCGGACACCGTCGTCGTTGAACCCGGACGGTAAAGTGAAGAAAGTGGCTTTGTCGCGCCGCGAGCGACAGCAGACCAGGGAAACGTTGAACAAACTGAAGGAACTTGTGCCAACGGTGCCGAAGGATCAGGCTTTGTCAAGCGTCGAGCTGCTGCAGCACGTCATCGACTACATATTCGACCTGCAGACCGAACTGAGGCAACCGGCCGACACCGCCGACGAGCCTTTTTTGTACAACGGCGAGGAGGACCAAATCGAGCACTCTGAGGACGACACGGTCAACGTCTCCGAACTTCTGCTGCAGTGCATGCTGAACACCGGAGATGGCAACAACACGCCTGACCAATGGAGGTGATGTCGTGTGGTTCGTCTGGCCTTTTTTTAAATGTTGCCAAAAGGTGATATGTTTATTCGTTATACTTTGTACCCTTCCGCTGTACCGTCGTGATACTAATGGTGCGGTAGAGCTGCGTGACTTTTGTCTTTCGGCCTGGACACTTGTGCATGTTTTCTGTATTGCCTTGAACAGCAATAAATCATTTTGACGTTTGGCTTGATTAAGAACGACTTCTCAAACGTAACGAAAGTTATTTGCGATTTGTCATTAGTGGCAGAGAGGTTGGAAACTTTGTTTTCCCAGACATCTATTTCAAGAATTTATTACACACTGAGTTGAGGTAAAACGTTTTGGTTTTAAATTCTCAGGTTTAGTGTGTGGTGAATCGATTCTCGAATATCACATCAGCTGGATCGGCCAGGACTCAGTAAACAGCTGGATTGTGTCGGTCACAGCAATTCACTCATTCACCTCAATCAGACCTTCCTTTGCCACGTGGCGCCCTGAGCAATTGGAAAAACTGATCGGATATTTAGATTTCTCAAATGACACTCGACGATAGCCATTGTCCATCGATTGTCACTGAATCGAGCTAGTTGTCCAGCCCATCGCATTTTGCGCTCACTGGTTTCCACGATGACATCTTTCACTCCTGGTTGCTATCTGATTTCTGCACCGGAGAGGATGTAGAGGAGTGAAATCGCCATAGAATATCTTTTCATAGCCTTCTCAATAACAGTTGATGTTCCTCTACTTTTGTCGGCGTCCTGCAGATGCTATAAGCCTAAGCACTGAGGCACGTGGCACAGAGCCTGGATAACAATGACTCAACTCTTTTCATGGCGAGCACACTTCACTGAATACGACATCACCGGCTGTACGATTGTGTTGAAGCAGTAGATCCGCGTTTCTTTGCTGATCTTCTTCAAGTAAACTTCTTGATGGAACAGAACACCAATCCGCTTTGCTTCTGTACAAGATTACAGTATTATGATCGTATGGAATTAGCTTTCTGGCTCGGCTGGACGTAACCTGCGATTATTTAAGTTTGATTTTGATTTAACGACTGTCGACAAATAATACACCGATGTTGAAGTCTTCATTCGGGCTGCCACTGTTTCAGTAGAAAAACATTGACTCTCTGTAGGCCAAATGGTGAACTTCCGAAATGACTTTTCCAAATCGTATTTAATTACTCCAGAGGCTTTTAATTAAAACTGACTTGCTCCTCTGCATTGCATCTGGTCGCATGCGTCTTGTCTTCGACCGAGTGATTTTTCTTCTGAGATGCTACTGTCTTTGTCGAGTTTCGTCAACGTTTCTTGCGGCTGGACAGTGCTTGTGCAACCAACACCACGTAGTCAGAGAATTTTAGACCAGTCAGCTTAGTGTCTCCTTTCCAGTGTCTATTATCATATTGCTAACTGAAAACAGTACGTCTATAACAAGAAAATATTACGATGTAATAATACATCGATACTGGCGGTCGCGTGGACCTTCTTCAGGATAGACCCAGTGGGTGGCAGCTTTTTGGGGTGGGTATTATATTTCAGCACGACTACCAATCCTCTGTTCAAAGAGTACACTATGTTTTGTTCCCATGCAAAAACCACCAGTCTTTTCGGACTTTTACGGTGTGAATGACGTTTAGATGCATTACAGAATTCAACGTTAGCGTCACCGGCATGAAGCTTGGCAACGACCATAGTACGGTATGGTATTATAGATGAAGTATTGGATGCAAAGCGTACGGTAATCATGAAGACATGTCATCATCGTGGAAGCGATTGGCTAAGAAGCGGTGGTAACCCATCCTGTCACAGTTTCATGTGTCTTTTGAAGCAATTTTGTCTGGACAAAAACATTCTGACCTCGAGCCCATACGGTCGGATTGATGAGACTGTCGGTATAAATCCTAGTTGAACTTACGATGGTATCATATTCAAAAAATGAAACTACGAACTCGCAAGATATTCAACAGGCGATTTTTGCAGCTATGAATTTTTGATGAATCTGAAGTCGAACTTGAGCACAAAAGCTGTTCATTTCCTAGCTTGATTCTGAGCCTAGCCCACTTCAATAGGAATATAGCTTCTATCGAGTTAGGCAGAATGAAATTCATGAAGACCGAAGCGCTGGGAACAGAACGAGAAATGCTTGAAGAAAAGAAAGAGTCAGGCAGTCAATTACGGTACAAAGCAGTGCTGTGCATGTTATTTCAGCAGGGCTGACAAACGACATACACATGTTACTTGACTAGGAATTATACCAGGAAGACGAACATGATTCCGTAGTTCCCAAAAACTATGCTGCGCTGTGGTTGAATGCCTGTGTTGTAAATTTTCATACTATTTCAGCTTTACATAACCGTGATATTACGTTTATTTTGTTTATTTTCAATACATAGAATGGGCACGCTTTCAGAACAAGAATATAGTGCATCAATTGACTGCGATGCAAGAATAATTACCTCATTATGTGAGGTAAGCGGCTGTACAACAGTGCCTGAAATTAACGGTTGGTCATTTGTACTCATGCCTTCGCATTAACAGCGGAGTTTGCGCGTAAATTATT